CTGCTATTTATTTTGAGACATATGTCTCAGCTTAATTGATTAACACCTGTTTGACTATTGTACAAAAAAGTTAATTACGATAGAAATAGGGTGTTGAAAAGTAAAAAGTATAGTATGGTAATATAATACATTATAATATATATAAACTCTAATATATACGTATAATATATATCAACAATTCTATGATTTGAGTGTTTTGAGCTGTTAGGTCTCCTTCGGAGTAGCTACTAGCGAATCTCACCCCTTCTGGCTGAGCTCGTGCTTGCCCACCTGTTCTGGTGAAACTGGAAGGGACAACGGGCCAAAAGTAATCCTTCCTTCCTAAAAAAAAATTAAGGCTTTTTAAAATGACATCGGCGATTATAAATGATTTACCGATAGCGTATTAAATACTATTATGTCTTCAATTATAAGCCACGAAACTACTTTTAAATTAACGCTTTATGACAACATCCTTTTCATGTTTCCAGAAAATTCGACACCAACCATTTTTTTGGGCAAGCAACTTTAATGTCCACTTATCAAAATGTGGAGGAGAAAGCGTTATAATCCGAAACGCTAACGCAGAAACTAAGTGGTGAAATGAAAAGAAATCAAACAGACAGGGAAACTTAGTGGAAATATTCCGGAGTGTCGCCAAGGGACGTCGTACTATGTTGAACATAAGACCTGTTGAATGTGACTTTCTTGCTATTTAATTAGTCGTTAAATATTCACGCTTTCGAAGCACATACATTATTTTGTTTGTAGCGTTTTGCAATTTCCAGGGCCCTGAAACTTTTGTATGAAAACTAGCGACATCTTGTCGCGGATGCCCCTAAACTTATTGAGTTAACAACTCAATAAGTTAAAATATTTAATTATTGTATAACTAAAAACAGAATAAAATAATCATTCAAGTCTTTATTATTTTGTTATAGACAAGTTGATTAAATTTTATCGATTTGTGGTTTCTGAAAATTTACAAAATCCTTCATTAAAAATAAAATATAAGATAGGTAATATGTTACTGCCATCTAGAGGAGCAATTAGAAACTAATCGAGGCGAAGCCATCAAGTGGTCGACGCCCGCAATTTTTTTTTATGAGTGTTTGAGTTGTTATCTATAACTAATTTATGTGTATTATCTATGGCGTTTTCTCTATTCATATTGGTCATAGATAGTAACTGTGGACCTGTGAAATTGTTATACTTATTTCTGCCGCTCAGAATTTATTCTTGCAACTCGGTTTGAAGCCAAGGACTTGATTGCAATACTGTACTTTCGTTTAGTAATAATGGGAACATTAATGTACAACAAATTGGGCCAAGTAGTTTTATTTCCATTATAGACTTACGACCTACCTGATGATAATAATAATGGACATGAGCAATGCCAAGGACATAGACCAGAGCTGTCTATCTAGTACTAACAAGTTGATGTTTATCGTGTTTATGTAAAGGTATTCATTGTTAAGCGTGATCTGAATTCACTAATATCATAATATTGACTTCGTATAAGGAAGTACACAATGTTTACTTAGATATTCGATTGAAATAATTAGTTGTGTTTTTAAATACAGTAAATCGAATTTCGTTATCATGATAAAATCCTAAAGCGGATCGTCAATATGTTTTCGCAATAAAACAAAATAAATCTCAGAAATTCGAGAATCGTTTTATTTTCATTATACAAACATCCGACGATTGAATTTTGGTATCTGATTCTGACAGCCTTTTCCCGGAGGCGTCGTATTCGACAAATCAATTTGTTCATATTTATCAACTCATAATACCATTGCTCGGAAGCTATTAAATCTATCACGGGCTTTACGGGGTTTATCACGGACGAATCGATAAAACAGCCGCGAACCGTTTCGTTAGATCGTAAAAATTAGTAACAAAAGTCTTTAGATAGCGTTCATAATTTTTGATTATTAAAACATAAATGACAATGGAATTTATTTGGCCATAAAATATTTTTTTATGGTAGAAAGCATTGTGTATGCGTTGAATATATTTATGTCCAACGGGTGGATAGACTAGCTCATACACATCCGATGTTGAGTTTTTGTAAGAACTAAAGAAGAAGCAAACAATTTTAATACACGAAAAAGATGAAACGATATTAAAAATTAAAAGTCACTTTTGTCTGTTACACAATAAGGTTTTGCTTAGTGCTATCAATTAAAATGTATGTTACATACCGGATATCTCTAGGTATTGCATTGTACTATTTAATTTATTGATACCTCTGCGTAAACATATTAACTAAGAATAACGACCGGTAAATTAACGTTTAATCAAAATCTCAATTAAAATCTAAAATTCACATTATTACTCGTACAATAACATTCACGTTTTCAGTTATTAACGTTAAAACTTCATTGTTAATTAACGTAAAACGTCTGATCATTAAAATTGCGGGGGCGACGGAGTTGTCTCTTCCCGGTTATACCCGGGTGTAATCATTTAGGATAATAATAAAGACGGCGGGAGCGGTCGTAAAGAGATTGGTTTGCGAGCCTCGAACGTTTATGGAGTGCCCGACGATCTGCGAGCGCCCAAGTAAAAGGCAACGTATGCAGTGGAATTTAGTCTTTAACACGCTGCGGTTAGAATCATGTTAAAAAAACAAATGGTTTTTTTTAATTGCACTGGGTTGATGAACGAGTTTAAGGCATACTAACACACACAATATCAATGCTCACATTGAGACTTGAGTTCGGACTATGAACTGTTTATTATGACAGCCTCTCAACTTTTTAAATAGACAAAGAGCAGTGGTATGTGTACGCGATTGCTCATAATATTCCCTACAATCAGTCATTACAGATACTTATAAAATACGCAATAAAATATAATATAGCTCGCCGATCATAAATTCGTCTGCATGGCCTGTTATTTAAGGGTATTGGCGGAGACAAGTGCTCCGCAGCCCTATGAGATGTAACATAAATTCTTTCCCAGGATTAAAATTAGTTCCACGCCGTAGTTCGTCAGAATCGGTTCAGTAATTTAGGCATAGAAATGTACATATTAGACAAAGTTACATTCTTATTAATATATTATATAAAATTTGTTATGTATCGTCTAGTATCTAAGAGCCTTCTTCTTCTTCTTCTTCTTACTTCGGCTTCCTCAATACTGAAGGTCGTGACCCCCTCCTCGCAACAAGAGTTTATTCCGGATCATTCCAGGCCATTTGCTTCTATCTGCCGCCGAAAAAAAAAAAAAAAAAGAATAAGAATAAAAAATATTTAAATGATTTTAATACTTTTGTTGTTTTTAATAACTTTGCCTTTGAAAACTTTACTAGAGCTTTACTGTATCTCGAAAAGCAGAATTCAGCATGGGACTGGGAATTTTATCTCTCAATTTTGCATGATTATTATCTTATATCTCTTAAGCAGTAGTAAAACTAGCTTGATTGCGATAAATTTTAATTCCCACATAATATTATATAAGTATTTATGTGTATTTTATTTCGGTTAAATAAATGTAACTATATCTCTACAGTGTTACCTGGAAGATTTCGAAGCGACGACGCCGCTAATAATAAAGTACCAGTTTTATTTGTTACTTTAAGGTTTACTCCACAATTTTTAGTTTTAGCGTAACAAAAAAGATTTATTGTGAATTTTTGTTTGTTTTTGAATTTTTTGAGAACAGCTTTTATTTAACTGAATGTAATTAAAGCATCTTAAGTACATTAATTTCTATATAATTGGATGTTTCCAGAAGTTTCTAAGCAGGATTAAATTAAGTTGTTTTAATGTAATTGCACGAAATAATTATTCGTCCGTAGACGTATTGTGAATGAATCGTTTTATTTTAAATAAAATACATTTCATAAAATGACCTTCCAATTTTTTTACTTTTTTTTTTTTTAAAGAGTTTTTTGTTTAAATCGCTTATGTGTTCATTTCTTTGATAAGTAAAAAAAATATTGACAGGAAAGCTTAACCTTTTTGTATCTAAATGTTGGGACATTATCAGTGTTCACTACAAATGATGAATTTAGAATTTATTCCTTAGTACAAATATGGATACAGCGCTGTTTCCGTAAAACAGAATAATGTGGAAATGTGTGTGTTTTGCGATAAAATTGTTGGTCGACAAAAACGAAATTTACAAAGCCTAGTTTTGAAAAACCACAGATAGCATAAAGTATTTATCTCTATTTTCATACAAATATTGTTTGGTAGGATAATTAGGAAATTTAATTTATAATCAAAATTTATTTAATTAAGCTCTTCGTTAGACTGTTTCGAGCTTTGATTACTTTGAACGTATACAATTACCCGAAATGAAAGCTCCGCATTCAATCTGAGCTGTCAACGTATGCGGATCCAAACACAGTCCGGGGGTTTATAGGATAATCCCGTAATCATGGTCCCCGTTAAATTTAGTATCTTTCAGATCATAGGGCTGAGTAACGTATGTCTCTTTTTTAATTAAAATTTAATATTATACGACTAAAGTATAAATTATTTTTAACAATGACATACTTTCTATAATGATTTTACAATTGATTAAAAATTACCACCTAAAGTTTTTATTTATACTGAATTATTATGAGGGTCGAGCAGTGGCACGGTCGACATCGGATCCGTATCTTAATCGTAAATAATAATATAACAGTGAATAAAAAATAATAAAAACTGTCAGGTTGAGTGGTTTTTTTTTAACAGTGATCTACCGAGACATAATCCAGTTCGTAGTCAAATCAGCGAAAAATCAGGACAACTTGAGTGATAAAATACGTTCAGTTCGACCCGCGAAATAACTACTAATATTAACAATTACATGGTCGTGACTAAATGTTAAACAAAATGTGAAGTGTATTGAACTAGCCTGTGCAAAATTGAAACAAACCACATCAAAATTCAGTGCAACGGGATACTACAAACTTCATCATCTAAAATACCTTATTGATCCACAAACCAGCTGATTTGGGTATAGAGGGTAAATAATAAATAAATAAAAAAATTATAAAAAAAAAAAAAAAAAAAAAATCATAACTGAGCTACCTCAATTAACGATTTGAAGGAAAATATATCGCCACCTAGCGGAATACATTGAAAACTTATCGATACGACCGTGTATAATCCATCCACAAGACGTCAGAAATTAAGCCATCAACTAGTTTCAAAAAATATCAACGAGATAGCGCTACATACACCAAAACAAAAGACATGGAAGAAATAAAAAAGCTATTAGAGAAAATGCAACAAGAAATTAGACAGTCAAAAATGGAAATGTTAGAAATGAAAGAGGAAATAAAAACAACTATTATTAACAGTCTAAATGAAAAATTTTCGAATTTCGAAGCGAAACAAGATCACTTCGAAACAAAAATCCAACAACAAAGTACAGCGATAAAAAACTTTGAAAGATACATTCGACGTAAAAATCTAATCTTGTTCGGCGTAGAGGAACAAGAGAAATCATATGATGAGCTGGAGAATACCATAATAAATTTAATAAATACACACTTTAACTTCCAATATAATAATTATAGTATAGAAGAGGTGAGAAGACTTGGAAAAAAGAAGGATACAATTAGACCAATAAAAATAACTTTCAGCACAATGGGATTAAAAATAAAAATCTTGAAAAATAAAAAACTACTGGAAAACACGACGTATTACTTGAAAGAGGACTACCCATTAGACATCCTAAATAAGCGTAAAGAGCTACTTGAACAGCTGAGAAAAGAGAAACAATTAGGAAATAAGGCCTACCTCAGTTATGACAAACTGATCATAATAAAAGACAAAGAACAACAGCCTCCTCTTAGTCACAAAAACAAAAGAAATTTGTCTGAAAAACCAGAGTTATTACATGCAAGCAACCAAATACCACGTACATTAATGAGAACCAGGTCCCATTCCCAAACAAAAAATAAAATAAATAAAACAAACGCATAGGATTCACTGGACATCGGCAACCGTAAACAAATAACCCTAAATAAATTTGAAGCAAACACGAAACATCTCCCCAATCCGGTTGGTCACCGTGGGGTTAGAGACCACCACCCCCCAAATCCACTTTTAAATAAAAATAAAAGAAACAAAAAGGTATTTATATCAACATTGAATACAAGAACATTAAAAACGCAAGACCGATTAAACGAACTAGACCATGCACTCAAACAAATCAATTGGGACATTATAGGCCTGTCTGAAGTTAGAAGATCAAATGAACAAATACAGGAATATGACGACTACATTTTGTACTACAAGAACGAAATTCCCGGACTGTATGGAGTTGGATTTTTGGTAAAAAAATATCTCAAAGAAAATATCCTGGAGTTTATTGGAATTTCAGACAGAATATCAGTACTAAATGTGAAACTGCCACATCATAAAAATAAATTAAATATTTCAATAGTTCAGGTTTATGCTCCGACAGAAAACGCAGAAGAACAAACAAAAGATTTATTCTATGAGAGCTTAAGACAAACTATGGAAACAATACATAATACAGTTATTATTATTGGTGATTTTAATTCCCAAATAGGAAAACGAGAAAGTAATGAAAATAACTGCTTGGGACCTTACACGTATGGTAAAAGGAACAAAAACGGCCACAGATTAATGGATTTCGTTCAAGAATTCAACTTAAATGTCATGAATAGCTATTTCAACAAAAAGCCGAACAAAAAATGGACGTGGATTTCACCCCTCGGAAATATTAGAAATGAAATTGATTACATTATAACGAATAAACCTAAATTCTTTATTAATATAGAAATTATAAACAGACTTGATTTCAACACAGACCACCGAATGGTACGCGGAACGATAACCGCGAGTCTCAAAAATCAACCACGGAAACATTTAAAAAGCAGGCCACAAGAGGATGATATTTCCTAACACCATACTAAACACATTAAAAGTCATTTTACACGAAAAATTTCAACAGACCCCTACTATACAAGGAAAATACAATATATTAGAAAAAGAACTCAAAAATATGGAATTCCATGCACAAAAACCTAAAAATGAAAAAGACAAAATTGGAATTGAAGCTAGAGGTCTAATTATAGAAAGGCACAATTTGAGACAGCAGAAACCCACAAACAGGAAAGCAATATCTAATCTAAGAGCAAAAGAATCAATGAATCTATTAGAAAACATAGACACAAAATAAGAGAAGAACGAATTATATTTCATGTGGAATCCACGGGAAGTGTGAAAAGTGTGTGGAAGGAAATTCAGGATTATAACAACTGGATACCAGGAATGACAAAACAAAAAGATCAAAAATATAAAACAAAAAGACCCGAAATACTGGAAATAGCAACCGAATTTTATCAAGATCTGTATGACGATGAAATCCTACCAACACTCGATAAATATCTTGATAACAAAGACGAAGTAGGGGACATCCCACCAATCATGGAAAACGAAATAGTTAAAGCCATTGAATCACAAAAAACTAAAAAAGCACCTGGTGAAGATGGTATCTCAAACGAATTATTACAAGGCTCCTTAGATGGCATAACTAGTGGATTACATACTATATATAACGAAATCCTCAGTCAAGAAATAATACCAATACAATGGGCAAAATCTACAATAATTCTGCTTCACAAGAAAGGTACAAAAGACGACATCAACAACTATAGACTAGACTTGCGCAAAACATCACTTCTCAATGTAATGTGATATGACATCACTTTTACAGATAGGTGATATTACTCGAAAACATTACACATCACTCTTAACATTACTCGGTGCGTTCAATAAATACTGTGACGACGTACATTGTATCTATACACCCGAATCATTACCTAAGTGATGTGTTGATACACATCACTTAGGTAATGATTCGGGTGTGTTGATACACATCACTTAGGTAATGATTCGGGTGTGTCATTACAGTAGTGTATTACAATACAAAGTATGAACTTTGTATTGTAATACACTGTTATATTACTTGACAGAAATTGACTTACTTAATAATATAATAATTTTATTTTTTACTTAATATAATTTATTGTGGGATGAACGGATTTCATATGGCGACTTAGACTGCAAATTGAGCTCGACAATAATGTTAATATACGAGAGCAGTAGATGCATTGTTTCGGCGCGATATCCTCAAAGTGCATCCAAGGAGGACTGTACTTTCATTTAGACGCCGTTATTTCTTTCACTTATTAAACACGCATTAAAACAAATAATAAAACTATCTTCAAACAAGNAAACAGAGTGACTGTAGCTTGGAAAAGATACTGGTCTCTTAAAGTCATAACAAAAAACGGGTCTATTCCACTACCACTCAAAAGCAAAGTATTTAATACAAATATACTTCCGACTATGACGTATGGGTGTCAGACCTGGGCTTTAACTCAGAAGAACATCAAAAAACTGCAGACATGCCAACATAGTATGGAGAGAAGCATGCTACATGTTAAAAGAAAGGATAAAATAAAATTAAAAGATATTCGTATGAAAACAAAAGTAACGGATGTATCATACACAATTAAAAAATTAAAGTGGAAATGGATAGGTCATTTAATAAGAAGCAAAACAGAAAAATGGGCTAAATTAGTAACTGAATGGTACCCTCGAGAGGGGAAAAGATTAAAAGGACGACCGTTCCAAAGGTGGGTAGACGATATAAAAGCTGTTGCAGGCTCTACGTGGAAGAGGAAATTCCACGATCGGAACTTATGGCAGGATTTGGGGGAGGCCTATGCGAAAGCAAAACAATCTTAGCCGATGTCAAATGAAAAGAAAAATGTACCTAAATATGAATTAAGGTTGTTAATAAAGGCTTCTTTATCTTTTATTATGAGGGTTGCAAATATGAACTAAAATTAATTTAATTATTTCTGACTGTATTGCTGTGTGTCGTTCAGGAATTTTTCTGATATTTGTTAATAAAATTTTTATTTTAGGTAATTTTTTTCGTTTCAAAATCCAGTTATTCTTTATACGTTTAATAAATAAAATAAAAAAAATAAAACCATAAGTTGCGATTATTTTTTTACGGTCACTCTTCTCCCTCATTAATACCTGATATTTGATATACACGTAAGGCTTAGAAGTCGTTCGTCGACTGGTTATACTGACGTCATCAGGGTAGGTGACCATAACCCTAGTGATCATGCTTCGATGCTTTCGTAATAAGAGCATTTAAAACATTTAGACATCAAAGTCATCAGAGTCAGGAAGGCAAAGCCAAGTTGGCGTCCAAAATGCTGGGAGTCCTCAACAGAGCGAAGCGGTACTTCACGCCTGGACTAAGGCTTTTGCTTTATAAAGCACAAGTCCGGCCTCGCGTGGAGTACTGCTCCCATCTCTGAGCCGGGGCTCCCAAATACCAGCTTCTTCCATTTGACTCCCTACAGAAGAGGGCCGTTCGGATTGTCGATAATCCCATTCTCTCGGATCGTTTGGAACCTCTGGGTCTGCGGAGGGACTTCGGTTCCCTCTGTATTTTGTACCGTATGTTCCACGGGGAGTGCTCTGAGGAATTATTCGAGATGATACCGGCATCTCGTTTTTACCACCGCACCACCCGCCACCGGAGTAGAGTTCATCCATACTACCTGGAGCCACTGCGGTCATCCACAGTGCGCTTCCAGAGATCTTTTTTGCCACGCACCATCCGGCTATGGAATGATCTCCCCTCCACGGTGTTTCCCGAGCGCTATGACATGTCCTTCTTCAAACGAGGCTTATGGAGAGTATTAAGCGGTAGGCAGCGGCTTGGCTCTGCCCCTGGCATTGCTGAAGTCCATGAGCGACAGTAACCACTCACCATCAGGTGGGCCGTATGCTCGTCTGCCTACAAGGGCAATAAAAAAAAATAAAAAAAATCAAAAGCCGATCACGCCACCCACCTTGAGATATGTGGTCAAAGTCTGTATAGTATCACGGATGTGATACCAATACAAGACGCCCTTTTTTCAGCGGAATCCATTTACGGATACCCGGTCGAGAGGGGTAATAGACCGGGTTATGTCGGACTCCGGCGCCTCCAGAGAAGAAGAGGGAGAAGAGGAAGACCAAAGTCCTCCTCTTCTTCCAATTCCTACCGGGAGACTACGCCTTGAGAAAGGCGCGCGAGGCGCTGCCCGGCGTCTACCACGCAGGACCCGCCCCGCAAAACCGACTACCGACTAAACCCCNTACCACGCAGGACCCGCCCCGCAAAACCGACTACCGACTAAACCCCATCGAGCTCCACCACTCCGACTCCACGAAACCTACGGTACCGCACAATGCGCGCCGCAGGCTCGCCGTCGCCGGTACCCGTCCTGACAATAGGACGGGATCCAATCCCCGGGAAGATCCCGCAGGACGTCGTCTCGGGAGACACCGTGAGTGGAATACAAGACGCCCTACCACCACTAAATATTTACTATTATGAATTATAAAATAACAGTGTAAAATTCATACTTCTAAATTTATATTTTGTTACATTGGCAACACTACCGTTTCATTATTATTTTTAAATAAAGTTTTGCGTAATAAATAACAGTGTGTGTAATTATTGCAGTTAATGTATTTTGTATACATTCATTTACGGCATAAAATTCTTGAATATTGCGTCAAATTTGACAGCCCTACAACGAGTTTTCAAAATAAAGGCAATGTACAATACATAAAAATGTGGGCGACGTAAAAAAGAAAGTTTCAGATAAGGAGTAACGCTTCAGGTAAAATATAGCGTATATACAAGTGGTTGTACGTGTTATATACAACAATACATATATACAATATACAAGCCCATAAATATTGAGTAATTGATTTATTTATTGAAATATTGATTGATTGTAAACTGATATTGTAATTTATCGATTGGTGCCACTCAATTTATAATAAACCAGCGGCCCGCTCCGGGTTCGCTTGAATCTTAAACAAAAATTTCAAAATAAAAAATTATAATACACACACATTGACCCTTATATTTGCGTCAGGTTTCTAAAAATAGAAAATTATTAAGGTAGTTTGAATAATTATCATTATTTTAATGAACATTTATTTTCATTTAAATAATATTTGTTTTGATCTATTTTATTATTTTTTTTATATTATTATTTGTCTAATTTTCATAACATTATTGGAGTTTTAGTAAGGATCCCTAATTAAAAAAAAAGAATATAGCCTATGTCACTCGGGAATAGTGTGGCTTCCAAACAGTGAAATAATTTTTCAAATCGGTTCAGTAGTTTCGGAGCTTATTCAATACAAACAAACAAACAAATCGTTCCTCTTTATAATATTAAGTATAGAAAATTTAAAATACATCATTAGGAAACATCAAGTATACTACTGTATGTAACAGCTATATGGTTACCAGCTTTCCAGAATCCATCATCCAAATACTTTACGGCCTGATAGCCGCCTAACATCTTGAGATGATATCAACATCTCAATTTCAAAACAATGTCCACCCGACTTTTAAAACCTTATCACAAAAATATTTTTAATAAAAAAAAAAAAACAAAATGTAAGATACAATATAAATCGAAATCTTGAGGACTAACAATAGTTTTGATAAAGAGACTAAAAATATTGTTTATTGTAAATACTGGTTGAGTTTGGTATTTTTATGAAGTTTTATAACGATGAGAAAACATTAAGTGTCTTTTATGAAATTCATCCTATACATTTGGCTGTATAGTGATTTCTTTTTTACTACCTTGACCATAAAATTAATAAAGTGTCGTCCGCCCCTTCATAAACACTTGACGAACGCGTCAAATTTGTGGATAGTGCCTTTGTAGACTTTGTGACACTTACCGCGATAAAGGTTGATCATAAACCGGGTAAGTTTTTCGTTGGTGTGGTCGCTATGGCAATAACCGGTCAACAAACGACTGCCCTAATAATTATAATGGACGGTAACAGTTATAATTTGCGTAATTACTGGTGGTAGGAGCTCTTTTGAGTCCGCGCGGGTAGGTACCACCACCCTGCCTATTTCTGCCGTGAAGCAGTAATGCGTTTCGGTTTGAAGGGTGGGGCAGTCGTTGTGACTATACTGAGATCTTAGAACTTATATCTCAAGGTGGGTGGCGCAATTATGTTTTAGATGTCTATGGGCTTCAGTAACCACTTAATACCAGGTGGGCTGTGAGCTCGTCCACCCATGTAAGCAATAAAAAAAAAAAACACGTTCGCGAATGACTTCCACGATAACAATAATAACATCGTGTAATGAAAATCAAACCCGCAATTTTCTTTTACTTATTGTTATTTTTTGTGTATCTTTTTAGCTTGTGATGTATATTGTGTGGTTAATAAATAAATCAAGACGTCAAGTCTCAAATAGTCTCAAAGTGAGTGACAGCACTGGATGGAGTATGGAGGAGGAGGAGGTGTATGGGCTCCGTTAACCTCTCAACAGTCGGTCGTCAGTTCGCTCATACGTTTATGTAATAATAAAAAATACCAACATTATTACATATTATTATATTTAATCCAATATTGTTTTATACTTTAGTGAAAGAAACAAAAACGATACCACGATATAGCCTTATCTTAATTGCATTTCATTACAGGATGTAAACGTCATCTTAAATAATTTATTACGTATAAATCATCCTATAGTGTTTATTTGATTTTTCAAAATAAATCCAGTTTTTTATCGACCAAATTAGAGAATCAAAACAAAATTTTATAAGAAATCACTTGCTATTTTAAAATGTTTGACATTCGTGCCATTAGTATTAATAAAAATGTTAGTTGCTGATAAAAATTCAAACAACTTAATTCAAAACACTAATCTAGCATTTTATTTAATGATTTTTTGCAGTTAATTTGGGATTTTTTAGACAAAACGAAAAATATTGAATATCTCGATAACGAGACACTTTGGTATTAGGGACATTAGGGGTAATTTTGTTGGAAATTAGATGTATTATCACATCCCAAGAGGAATACGTCGCATTACAAGTCACCCTGTATATTTGGTTGTAAACAAAAAACAAAAATTACAAACACGATTCAGCGAAGTTGATTACAGCGGGAAAGATCAAGCGGAAAATTCTCAATCGTCGTGGAATTTTCGCCGTGAAACGTAAACAAAACGGCAACGGAGAGTATTATTTTTGCAGGTTTCAATCATAATTCACGTCAAGAGTGGGGGGAGAATTTCGAAAGACGAAAACTCACGGCTCTCGTATTACGTAATACCGTTTGACGCATCGCCAAATTGAGTTTACCCTTAATGTTTCCTTTTGAAGTATTTTTTCCATCATATAATCAAATTTCATTATAGACCTTCTTGCGTGGGTCGATAAGTTGATTTTGCTTTAACCGCTGTGGGCTTGCAACAGGTTGAAATACTTAAATAAACAGGGACAGTTCGTTGAGAAGTTGAAAAAATTACGCTGCCGCTTGTGTGTGATTAATAATTAATTTAGCTTTGTCGTGATTGGATGAGATAATTCATTTGCATCAGTTTTTAGCATGATAAAGTCCTTTTATTTCCAACAAAATTTTCTAGGTTATTCAAAGCCTACGAAACTAAACTATTTTTATTTATTTATGTAAGGAAAACAAACCGATTCTTTTTGCTTTTGAAGATTGAGCATATAACCTACCTTGTTTCTGTTAATTATTAGCAAATAAAGGAGCATAGCCAAGTCGCTAACAAATAACAATAAAGCAAATACAGAAATTCACAAAAAGACCAGTAACTAACTTCCATGAGTTACGGACAACTCACACTTATTCTATTCAACAGCTGGTATCGTGTATCAATAGAGCTGTAACGTAATAGTCTAAAAATAATTCTTTAAAAAAAATTGACGATAGTCACAACAATTTTCAAATATCGACGAATAGAACTTCAGTCATCCCTGATCACGAAAACCCTAAGTATTCGAAAGGTCGGAAAACATTATAATAGAATGACAATGAAAACCACGAGATTTAACCATAAAAATAGTTTTAATTATGTTTTAGAATCGTAAAAAAATCGAAAAGAACACTATCTATCTATAAAGCTGTTTAATATTTCATATGAAAATAATTGAATTGTACTTCAATCGAAAACGCGCCGATTTGACAATGGCACGAGAAGTGAGACATCACATAAAGGGACAATTAGGAAATCTGCATTTGAATTGTTTAAATAATTATTCTCGACTTGTTCAATACACATTATTTTGGCTGTCAAACATAATTGTGTATTCAGAAATAGCTTTTATAAGGAATTCATGAAAGATTAAACATGTATTTGAATAAGTTTGTGAATTATTAAACGAGTCGCTAAAAAACGCATTCATATGCGTGTTTTAAAAGCTCAGGATGTTTGTAGTCAAATTTTAGAATAAAATATGCGTTACTGGATGTCGCCGTGACATGTGCCGTGTGAAAATTATGCTGTCGAATTTTATAAGTGTTCATACAAACACATTGATTATTTGTAAGCAGATTACTATTACTGGTGGTAGGACCTCATGTGAGTCCGCGCGGGTAGGTACCACTGCCCTGCCTATTTTTGCCGTGAAGCAGTAATGCGTTTCGGTTTGAAGGGCGGGGCAGCCGTTGTAACTATACTGAGATTTTAGAACTTATATCTCAAGGTGGGTGGCGCATTTACGTCGTAGATGTCTATGGGCTCCAGTAACCACTTAACACCAGGTGAGCTGTAAGCACGTCCACCCATTTAAGCAATAAAAAAAAAGATTAGTATCAAATCAGCCTTGAATCACGTGTTTGTTTGCACTGAGTGACCCAAAATACTTATAGCATCATATTTTATCGTATCGTTTATTATACATAATTTATGAAATATTCTTCGATACTTCCGATTGTTGGTTAGATAGAGATTTAAATAATTTTAATAGACAGATTCCATTAAAATTTGGAGCTGTGGTCGTGAATTGGCGTTGACGAAGTCCATTATGAATTAACGAATAATATTACTCTAGGGTTTATTGGTGATAAATATTTTGGATGTTATTTTGGATTTTAATTAAAATACACCAAAGATAATTATTCGTTGCCCTATAATCTACGTAAATTGATATTAATCGTGAGGTTGTATAAAAGTATTTTAAGTTCAAAGAGTTTTCTATAGCTCTGTTCAATTATTAGAATGAAATGCTTCTGGATAACCAGTAAAACAGATGTAAGTCGATATATTAAATTCTGTAGCTTTGTATATTAACTGTTGCATAGTTATGATTTATTATCGATTGCCTTTTCCAATTAGCGGCTCAGTGAAGACAGCCTACTATTTTACTATTTTACTACCCTACTATTTTAATCAAAACGCGTGATAATTTTACGGCGATAGGAACGACTGGACGGATGACGCAGTTATTTAAGATTAAGAAAGCATTAAGGTTGTCTTCTCACTAATACACGGAGAGTACTTTATCTTTATTTCATTCTTTGTCAACGATAAAACACATTCGACGCACGGAATGCCTAAGAGATCTGAGCTTCGTTGTTCGCACAAAACGAATGGGCTTTATTTAAATACATACAGAATATTCCTCGTACGATTTACATTTATATTGGCGGAGTTCCATTGAAATTTGAGTGACGCGCGCAAACAAATCCACGCGTTGGATATTGCAGTCAATGTTTGTATTTAGGTACTCTGTAAATGGTATGTTCGTGTGCGAGAATGACTGTGTTTAATATAGTCACATGCAATAAAAAAGAAAAACTATTTTTTTTAAATATAGTATTTGATCAAATCTACATATACTAATATTATAAAGAGGAAAGATTTGTTTGTTTGTTTGTATTGAATAGGCTCCAAAACTACTGAACCGATTTGAAAAATTCTTTCACTGTTTGAAAGCTACGCTATTCCCGTGTAACATAGGCTATAATGTTTTTTGAAAAAAATTTGGAATCCTTACTAAAACTCCAATAATAACCCAAGGTATAAAAAAATTACCTAAAAATCCTAAAATGCTCTTTACATCGCGTGCCCTGCGAAAGCTATTGATGATAGAATAAAGTAATGTACTACGACTTTATAGAACACATTATTATTTACAAAAAGTGTCACGACAGCATAGTTATGCCGCAACAAGTATTCTTTTATTTAAAAAAATAAAACAACGTCTAATATCGTTGAAATTTTTGTTAGACCCGAGCGGAGCCGGAGCGGGCCGCTTGTTATATATAAAATTCTAAAATAAATTCAATGTTCAAATGGTAAATTTAATTTAAAAATATAGCACGTTTTCGTAATTAATATTTCTGTTTTATAAGTAACCTAGCCGTACTAGCCCGCTTCTCTGGGCATTTAAAGTTAACATTATTATTTATCGTCATTATTATTAGGGAGTCCAACACTCATATAAATATTAGCCTATCCATTAAGTACATGTTTTTTCTACATGGATACAAGTCAATCGGATGCATGGTTTAGTAGCTATAACGGGACATCCGTAAAAACCACTGTAGATTTATATATTAGTATAGACGATGTATTTTTTTGAGTAATCAAATTAAATCATAAAAAATGATGCTACTGACTGATTGATTTTGCAGTGGCGCTCACTAAAAGGCAAATAATTATTTAGTCATGTCATTTGGTCCTTCGATTTCGAGGCGGGTTTTTAACTTTGAATTTTTTCAGTTACGTAGACTCAACTTACATTCTGATATCTGCGATTGCTCTACGTAAATGCCCAAAATGAAAATTCTACTTAGAACCTAACAAAATTCTGAACTTAACTACTGATTCACGGAAGCCCCATCAACACACAACAATAATTGTGCAAGTTTTAAAACAAAAGTTTCCCTATGAGTAGGTGCGTGTTCGTAGCACGTAGAGCTATCGTAACCCCGTAGCCCGTAGCACGGCGCGTTTATTTTTAGTCCATTATCATTTCAAGGCGAGCTAAGACGTAGCATTGAGCGATTAATTCCACTAATAATAATTAGGCCAGATAACGGATGGAGTATTTCTTTATTAGAATATTTAAAAGGTTTTGAAATCGGTAAGGAATTGAAAAACTGTAGACAAATCAATGAACTAGATAAGGATAAGAAGAAGGCGCTTTATGATACAGTGTTGCAGTTCAACGTGTGTTAAGTGATTCTATTGCCTGTCTCAGGATGAAATAGAAGAAGAGAAGATATTTCATGATACTAATGTAATATTTTATTTTTAATTTAATTTTTATTGCTTAGATGGGTGGACGAGCTCACAGCCCACCTGATGTTAAGTGGTTACTGGAACCCATAGACATCTACAACGTAAATGCACCACCCACCTTGAGATATAAGTTCTAAGGTCTCAGTATAGTTACAACGGCTGCCCCACCCTTTTAACCGAAACGTATTATTGCTTCACGGCAGAAATAGGCAGGGCGGTGGTACCTACCCGTACGGACTCACCAGAGGTCCTACCACCAGTAATTACGCAAAGTTAAGATAGTTATTGTGTTTTACTATTATTAACAAACAAATAAATAAATTTGGTGACATAATTTAATTAGTTACTATCGCGCATATAGTATCAATTTGTCAATTGTCAATTTATTGTCAATTTATTGTCTTGTCAATTTATTCAACGTATAAAGACACTTCTGAAAACGTACAGTAGCATAGACAAGCGACACCACATTCGACGCTATTGTTGTGTTTTCCAAGAACCTGGATGCTCTTTGTTAGTTCGTTTGACGGGCAGTCACAATATTATTACAATACACTATAGGTATCCCGGTCATGCGTCGCAGTCGCTGTCATTTTATTTTACGTTTGTTGAAACTGCTTACCACCTTACGTATTTCGATCGTATGATTGCGCATTTCTAAAAACGTTACCTAAAATGCCAACAACTATCGTTGATTTGGTTAGGTAAACATCATAGAATACAAACAAACATCTTACATTTACCTCCTCCTCCTTGCGTCGTATTCCTCATTGCTGAGAG